CTGAGTTGGGTATTCATGTTCAACTGCGGCATGGTATCTCAGTGGGCTGACACTATACATCGGCATCAGTCCGGACTAGTACAAGCAGCGACACACACACACACACGTGCATGCACGTCGCTATATAAGTGCAATAATCTTGGACGCGACGTTAAACCCCATTTCACCTCACCTCACCTCACCATTTTCTCTCCTTCATATATGTCCCTTTCGGGGTCACGGGTGGCCAAGTAGTCTATGGCGCCGCAATTCGCTGCGCAGAGTTGCGTCCCTTGTTCAAGCAAGAAACCTATGATTGTGGGTTCGAATCCCGGTTCGCCCTGATTATGTTTCTAGGTTTGTCACTTCGGGCTTTCCTCCCACATTAAGCTGACACGCCGTGATATAACTGGAATGCTGCTAAAAGCGGCGTTAAACATAACTCACTCACTCACTCATATGTCCCTCTCAGATATTTGTATGTGAGTGAGTGAGTATGATTTTACGCCGTTTTTAGCAATATTCCAGCAATTTCACGGCGGGGGACACCAGAGATGGGCTTCACACATTGTACCCATGTCGGGAATCGAACCCGGGTCTTCGGCGTGACGAGCGAACGCTTCAACCACTAGGCTACCCGACTGCCCCTATTTGTATGTAGGACGCCAATGATTAAGTGGGGCGTCAATATTCGTAACACACAACGATTGAAAAAAAATATACTACAAAGACACCGTTTCTCAAAGCTACGTTTATGAGTGATAAGGTATATAAGTGTAATCCTTCACTAATTGATGAGTTATATGTTGTGTAATCCTACACTAATAGGGCTCGCATTTCGGTAAACTTACACTAACCCCTGGATCCATCCCCTTGGTTCTCGCGATTTCAAATTTACCCGTCCTTGATTTCCAGTAGCCAATTTAATTTGTTGTGCTACTCGGTCTGAGGGACCATTCAGAATGCGAATTACAAACCCGCTTTAAAGGTTGGCGATATCAACAACATGGCGACCAGTCCAATTGATTATGATGCGAGAAATTGAACATTGAAAAACTCACTCATTCTCAAAAGAGAGCCCTCAAAAAATATGTTTGATGGAAAGGATGTCTTCATATCCATTAAGACTGGTGCCAAATTCATTACCCTTTTCTTTTTTCCTTATCTCGACGTTTGATTGGTCGGTAAAATGTAATGAAATTCAAGGGCGGGTAATTTGAGATCGCGGGACCCACGGGACTGGATCCAGGGGTGAGTGCAGGTTTACCGAAATGTGAGGCTGGAGATAGAGAGGATGTCAGAGTACAGTAGAACAAGGATATAACGAACTACAAGGGACCAAAGAAATCAGTTCGTTATATCCGTTGTTCGTTATACATGTTTTCGCTCGGGAACGTCCGCCATCTTGGATAAGACAAAACATAATACACGTAATTGCAGTGTTACACTAACTCAGTGTTTGCTAACTCAGTTTCTAAGATTGAATACATTTCATTTACCGAACATCGTCAACAATGTAATGGCCAAAATTAAGTGTAGGTGGTGAGGACTAAAACAGCCGAATTTTCTCCTACCCTGCAATAAAAACTCTGTAGTTATTAAACCTTCCGATCGGTGTTCCAATTGAAAGGACTGTAATATCAAAATGAACAGCTACTGTAAAAAACACACGGTTCTGCGTATCGTCAAGAAATGGATTCAGGAAGAAGATTCTGAGACAATTTAAAAGTTAAAATATTTACTGAACTTCACAACAAAACGCCGAGTATGTTCATTATTTTACTGGCATTAACACAAAACTGAGACGCTTGACATCCACATTTCATCTTCCTCGACTCTGGGTTTCTGTGAACTGCAAAGAAGATTCTCATATATGTTTCTCCGTTTGATTCACAACAAAACACAGTGTTGATGTTTGTGCTGTGACAAATGCGAGACTATGTTGTTTTACGCCGCAGATCTGTCACGGCGTACTGTAAAAAAATAATCGAGTCCTAAACAAGCCAGTGGTTGTCGGCATGAACAACGACCTACGCTGTCGGTGTTCGTTGAAACACATCGCGTGGTGTCGTACCGGCCAATCACATGAAAATCCCTGGATATAAATAGCTTCAGATAAGAATCGATGATAAATCGATATCGAAAAAAAAGTGGGAAATCGGTCTGGAAAGTTTCAATCAGATACCACGTCAGCCCGTCTAAATCACGTCCTGGAGTAATCTCTGCTCAAGATCTTGTCATATGACGAATGTAATGATCAATATACCTACAGAACTGCATGCAACCGGGCGGGTCTGCTATCAGAACAGATCAGATGATAGTGGATATATATTGATATATCTGTCGTGTTATACAGAAACACACATATGCAGTCATTTACACTCTACTGGAAAGACATCAAGCATTATCATGTCCGACCTAAGCTGAATACTCGTTCAACGGTAAACAGATCTAGACTGGGCAATGTGGGTCGAACATTATCAGCACAGTATTGTTCTGTTAGAAGGGTGTGGTTAGCTATGAGCTCATTATGTGTCACAGATGAAGAAAACATATTATTATATGCGTGTAAGCGTACTTGGAGAACTGGTGTATTGGATGTGATGCGATTTGGATCAATGCATTGCGCTGTAGGGTGGGGCTCCGTTTCACAAAGGGATACACAACACGTGTTGTTTAACACCGCACACAGCAATATTCCAGCTATATGGTGGCGGTCTGTAAATAGTCGAGGATGTAAATGGACCAGAAACTTCTGTGATTGACATCATGAGCATCAATCTACGGAATTGGAGCAGGATGCCATGAAGTCAACTAAGTCAGCGAGTCTGGTTGGTTCCTATATTCTTATCCGAATCCAGAGTCTTACCCGATTTACGATCGTCTTCGGGCTAAGATTTCTTTTTGGATCGGGGCCGTGACAAGGCAATCGTAGAGTGACGGTCGAAGTAAACCCATCTATGAAGCGACCGTAGAGTCAAGGTCGAAGTAAACCCATCTATGAAGCGACCGTAGTGTGGCGGTCGAAGTAAACCTATCTATGAAGCGACCGTAGAGTCATGGTCGAAGTAAACCCATCTATGAAGCGACCGTAGAGTCATGGTCGAAGTAAACCCATCTATGAAGCGACCGTAGAGTTACGGTCGAAGTAAACCCATTTATGAAGCGACCGTAGAGTCATGGTCGAAGTAAACCCAACTATGAAGCGACCGTAGTGTGGCGGTCGAAGTAAACCCATCTATGAAGCGACCGTAGAGTCATGGTCGAAGTAAACCCATCTATGAAGCGACCGTAGAGTGACGGTCGAAGTAAACCCATCTATGAAGCGACCGTAGAGTCATGGTCGAAGTAAACCCATCTATGAAGCGACCGTAGAGTGACGGTCGAAGTAAACCCATCTATGAAGCGACCGTAGAGTCATGGTCGAAGTAAACCCATCTATGAAGCGACCGTAGAGTCATGGTCGAAGTAAACCCAACTATGAAGCGACCGTAGTGTGGCGGTCGAAGTAAACCCATCTATGAAGCGACCGTAGAGTCATGGTCGAAGTAAACCCATCTATGAAGCGACCGTAGAGTGGCGGTCGAAGTAAACCCATCTATGAAGCGACCGTAGAGTCATGGTCGAAGTAAACCCATCTATGAAGCGACCGTAGAGTGACGGTCGAAGTAAACCCATCTATGAAGCGACCGTAGAGTCATGGTCGAAGTAAACCCATCTATGAAGCGACCGTAGAGTCATGGTCGAAGTAAACCCAACTACGAAGCGACCGTAGTCATGCCTGTCCATCTTACACAATAGGAGTTGGTCTACAGCAACAAAACCACATATTTATTTATAACTATGAGCTTGAATTTTTTCCGAAGAAATACACCTTGCAACAATCTTCTTTTTCTGGCAGGCAATTCTTTTTTTCTCAACAGTTTGCAGCATAATTATTTTTTTCAAGACTTTTCGGGGACAATTTATTTTTTTCGATAAGAAACTTCTGACTTTTTTAACAGTTCCGTCCAACAAATTTAATCACGCGACGCGGGAAGAGTAGGTGCTTGCGAGTAAGTACGCTTCAGAAACCATAGTTTCCTGCACAGTTATACATTAATTTCAGATATATGTGATTTTCGGAACATGTATACCTACATTTGTCGTGACAACTGACAGATGTGAAATGCGGTAGAGGAAATAAACCCGAAACGAAACAGGCATATTTACATCAACATGCCAAACGTTGTCTAACGCCATGGATTTAAGAGACACTAAGAACGATATACCTTTAAACAAGGCGAGAAAATTGTCATCAGTTTCGGTACGGGGGAAATAAAGTTCAATCTGAGCCCAGTTTATCCGTCAGTAGATAATGAGAATGCCAACGGTCGTTTGCGTTTATGGGGAAACTTCTTGTGGAAAAGATTTTATTGTTTCACCAATACGGCTTAAGGGCTGCAATCAACCTAATGGTAGCGGAAGACGAATGGAGTCGACGCAGGTTACAGTCCCTAAGTGTGAACGTGGATGGCGGGACTAACGGATGAATTATGTCATGTGTGACACTCCGCGAAGGAAAGGTTGATGGACGTTGTTTATTCTGTACCAAACACATGAATGAGACAAGCGGCCTACTTTCAGCGAAGATATATACATATAGATGTTGCGATTAATTCAACTTAAAGAAGTTAATGACTGTAAGTCAGCACTGTCGGGGAAAACAAAGTATACACTTGAAAATACCGACTCCACACTGCTCATTAATGTAAACTGTGAACTTGCGACCCTCATGTTCCTTCAGATATTCATTCATGTGTCTCTCTCGATCTCGATCTGTCTCTGTCTCTCTCTCCATCTCACTCTATGTGCCTGTCTCTCTCACATCTGTCTCTATCGTCTCTCTGTGTGTGTCTCTTTCTGTTTGTCTCTCTGTCCCTGTCTGTCACGCTGTTTCCCTGTCTCTCTATCTCTCTGTGTCTCTCGATCTCTCTCTGTCTCTCACTCCTTCTCTTTCTATGATGGATGTCAGTCGTGGTTTTAGTATCAGGACGCTCCGTGTTCGTGATGTCTACAGACGCATGAGGACCTTGTATTGATTGCATCAAACCTCATCAATTTGCGCCCATGACCGGTTCCCGATCCCTTTGGAAGCACACACGTTGTTCATCGGATATATAGGTTGCTGGAAGCAAGAGGTAGGAAGCGGTCTCGTTGTGCCTTGAGTCTCTCTGCGTGTAGCTATGTGACTGTAGACCCTCGTCCATGCCAGCTCTCCGCGTGAGCACAGCGTTACCTTCCTTGTGTTAGACGAGGAACCGGTTGTATTAAACTTAAAAGATTCATTAACGCGTAATAAAACCTTCATTAACTGTTATGCCATTAAATTCGGTTGTATCAGACTTTTAATGGTACCATCCTTATGTTAATGGTTTATTAATTAACTTAATGCAGGCCCGTGGTATCATTAACCTGTTATTAAACAGCCATGCCTAATAATATCCGCTAATATGTTGATAAAATGCAGGGGTCCCCTAAAACTACTGTCTATGTGCCATTCATGCCACTTGGCAGATGACAGGAAGAAGAAAGTGAGAAAGAGGAATTGTGGGAAAATTATTGGGGAATACCCCGAATGCCACGTTAATGGAAATCGTACACTTCAATTATCTTTGGTTAATGACAGTTTGATGACGGGTTTGACCCATCTTAATGCCGTTCTCAACACATGCAACGTTAAGAATTTAACGAACCATTTGGGTATAATGAACCCTTTACTTAATAGAGGTTCAATACAAACGGGTCCAGAACGTTTGGTTGGGTGAACATTCACACAGTAGGAAGAGTGAGTGAGTAAGGTTTTACGCCGCTTTTAGTAATAGCACTAGTACAACTCCGTGGAGGCGGCCTGTACATATTCGAGGCAAGGTAGGGTGGTACGGTCATACACTATCAGTTGGGTCAAACGTCTTGCCCATCCAATCCTGATTTTAGTCGACACTTACAACAAGCTGAGGAACCTGGGATATATTCTGCCTGTGTGTCCCACATACATATCAGTGATCGATGACATCTGTCAGGGGTAGAATGTAGCCTACACACCATCGAAGGGACACAAGTGGCCCCATGGTAAAAAGGGCGGTAACTCGTTGTGCAGAGTTATGCCCCTTAGCTGCCAGATCGGCAAGCTCCTTCCAGCGCGTGACACCTTCGTTACACTCTCGGTAACGTCGCTGCCACCAGTGTGGGCGCGGGCATTACAAGAATCTTGAAATGTGCCCTCTAACCCCAAATGAAGTAACGTTCATACTTTTGTTTATGTCTTTGGGAATGCCATCACAGTTAATTTTGAAAAGGTTTACGACTGACCATGGTTTCCAGATGAATTTACTTTGTTGTTTGTATTGGATCGAGATTGCAGACAAACGGAAAATCAACCAACTTCTCCCTTATATTTTTACTATATCACTGACATGATAGATTTAATGAAATAGAAATTCAAATTGACAAACAAAGAAAGTAATTTACCAGGGGTAAGTGTATTCGACATCAAGACAGTCGTCACTTGTTTGTGAACATAACGGTAATTCGGTTGCGAGTTCAACACTAGGCACGGTTGTGGCCACCTATCACGGTGGGGAGTTTTGACTGGTGGCAGCGATAGTATAGAAAGCTCCGCGAACGGGCTATCGCTGTGAGGAGCTTGCCAGATCGGCTGGTTGAGGTTTCTAATTTCAGATACAGGATTATTATCCTTGGTTAGGAAGCATCTGATTGTGTTCGTGGACTGCACCTTGGTGTATGATAAAAGGAGTTACCTTTATCACATGGTACCGCCTCCGTGGTCTAGTGGTGGAGCGTCCGCCGGGAGAGCGGAAGGTCCGGTCTTCGATTCCTGGCCGCATCATACGTAAAGACGTTAAAAGATGGTACTTGTTGTTACCCTGTCTGGCGCTCGGTATTAAGGGTCTAAAACAAGGACTGGTTGGGTCGGTGTCTGAGTGGGGTATTCATGTTAAACTGAATGTTGGACGCGACGTTAAACCACATTTCACCATACCTATTGCATGGGCGGTGGTGTAGCCTTGTTCACGCCGTAGAACCAGGTTCGATTCCCCACAATATGTGAAGCCTATTTCTGGTGTCCACGCCATGCTATTGCTGGAATGGAGTTAAAACGGTGTAGAACTTTACTCACTCACTCACCTATATCATATGACTTTCTTGGCGCCATGATATGACGCGAATACACTTTCAAATGGCGTGACTGTCACTCACTACAATTTCGATGTTTATGATTACATGACTGTTATTATTGACGGCTTATTTTTACTTTCTTATACATCCTGAAATACCTACGAAACCAACTGCTGAAAAGTATAAATATGACAAAATTCTATTTTGGACAGATTCAAGCCACATTTACACAAAGTCAGGTATTCGTTTTTAATCATTTAAGGAAATTGCTCTCAACAAATATTCAGAGCAATTACTCTACGAAACACAAGCGACCCCTTAAATGCTTAATCGGCGCCTTCAGCGCTTTTAGTCAATTTACGGTTTCAGACGACTCCGTTCAACAGCGAAGACTTTTATTACAGGCAGACTGATAATGAAAACAATCGAGCTATTCCAACTCGTTACTGCCAGGTGATTTTCAATAGTCTCCTTAATTCCGCAAGTCCAACATTTCCAGGCAGGATTGTCGTGCATTAGATAATTGTTCCTCGGAGCGCTTTGTGGAATCAAGGATTATTAAAGGAAACTGCCGCCCTAGACCGGACAACCGGCTCTTGAACAGAAGAGGTTGGAGATGAACTCTCTACCTCACACGCAACACGGACTGGTCGGATCGACAACGCAGCACGAAGCGTGGGTCGTCACGTAAACGACGCCAGTGCAAATAGCGCTGGTGGCCATGTTTATTCGCCATGTGCCGTCGGAGTTGCATTGAATTGAGTCTTTATTAAGTTTATTAAAAGTTAACGGAATCTGATGAAAAGGGACATTTTGTTAGTGTTTGAAATCGTCAGATGAAACCTGAATTTGTGGAATAATGTAGGGATGTGATTTTGGACTGTTTTTATGAACAAAAATCGAATTGAACAAAAATGTGTAGTTATTAGATTTGTACTGGTTAATGATTTGCATGACTCCGACCATTACGAGTTATTACGAGTATTCTGTTAGGATAAAAGTTGCGTGCATGGGTGATAATGCTTGTAATAACCGCACCGCCTGAAATAATGGGGTACCTATTTACTAATAGATACCCCATGTTTAACGCAATGATGACAGTTATGTATATGTATGTAAAGCTCTTAACTGACAGTAGCACTGTATGAGTTGGCGAGCTGACGTGACCTCGTGACATGTATTGGGGACGCACCGCTTCTCACGTAAACACAGAAGTGCATCCTACTTCTATTAGCGAGTAGTGACAGTGTATAGCGCGCAGTCTCGTGAGAAAATGTTGTTTTACGCCGCACCCAGCCATATTCCAGCAATATGATATTTGCAAAAGACTTCGATTGCTGGTGTTTCCGTATGGTAGATAAATAAATTTACTAGATAGGAAGAAAATAATACGTCTAATATTAAGATGTATCAATATAGTGTAGACGTGACCAGATATGCCAGTTAGGTTGACAACATAGGTAGACAAACAGGCACTTATCCTGTATTGTCTTGTGTTTTACAACTCAATTCTATTATACCATGGGGCTGGTTGGGTAGCCTTGTAGTTGAAGTGTTAACTCGTCACGTCGAAGACCCGGGTTCGATTCCCAACATGGGTACAATGTGTGAATCGCATTTCTTGTGTCCCCCGACGTGATATTACTAGAATATTGCAAAAAGCGGATAGAGTCCGGAATACTCACTCACTCACTCATCATACCACGAACCCTTTCCCTACCATTGTTTTGATTTTGCTGGGATTGTGTATCGAGATTAGATTTTTTTTCTGTTACAGCTGCAAAACCAGATATTTTTTTCATTAAAACTATTAGCCTTAAAGGTTTTTAAAGAAAAAAACCCTTACAACTATTTTGGTGACAAACAAGTTCTTTTTTTGTCAACAGTCTTAAGCATAATTATTTTTACAAGGATTTTCTGGGACAATTAATTATGTCTTGCACGAAGAGATATTTGCACTAAGATCATCTTAACTCCCATATTTTAACATAGACTTTAACTAGCCTTGGTGCTAAGATTGCTTTGTACAAGTGAACTCTGGGCCCCGGTTGTCTCAAGTCTGTGTTAAGGTATGGGAGTTACGGTCGTCTTAGCGCTAAGATCGCTGTGTGGAACGGGGCCTGCAGGCTGCAGGCAGTTATTATCACGGCTAGACCTAGACAGGAAATGAACTCCAGGTGACGGAGCACAGTACCTCATAATGACAAGGAAGGCTGTGTCACCTTCCCACAACACACGCAGGTGTACTCCCACACCACGACCATAATCATCCTTGCAATTGTCTGTACATTTGTCAGATGATCATTTGCATTGAAAGACATAATTTAAAGGGTGAAGTGGAATGGGGTATAACGACGCTTTCAAGATTTCATGCCACAGTAGAGCATGGATATCCCACTCACATACTGCATACCGACTCCAAACCAACCAGTCCTTGTCTTATCCCCTTGATGCCGAGCAAATGTAACACGCAGAACAGGTAGCTGAATGCTATCACTTCACAAAGCATACCGTTAAGCTGCCCCTGAAAGTAAAGAGTTCTCGCCCTTTATTTTAGCATGTTTTTTCAAAATGTCGCGCCTTTGAAGAACCTAATAATCAGTATTTAGAATAACCCTACTGTTAATCCGAGGCACGTGGAGCCCGTTCTTGTACGACTTTCTCCGAAGTTCTCCTCAAGCATCAAAGTATCTTAAGCGGTCATTTCAGTGTACGTTTCACTTGGCCAATGCTTCATGTAATTGTTCATTTAATCGAAAGCTGTCACAGTTATCGGGAATTAGCACTTTAACAAAACAGCTAATATACTGTCGCCGACAAGCATTCTTTATGCCTGCCATGTATTTAAAACAAGATTACTGCACTCTCATACAAAAACAGCCTTTTGATGAACTTTTTATCCCCGACCATCATAATAAAAACATTTCCTTACGAGACACGATCAATGAATATTGTTTCCTATCTTCCGCGATAACGCTCGCGGGTATTGGGACTATTTTGT